GTCTGGGTTGTTCATATTTGGATCCTTCAACCCTCCCAAAGCTTTTCAAAACTCAGACCCAGTTAAAATAGAACTGGAAAAGTTAAATAACAACAAAAAATTAAAGCTAAATTTTGATTTTATTAAATCTGAAGAGAAAGAAATTAAAATCTTTTTCCAAAACATCCAAAGTTTCCGCGCCCACAAAGAAGACATCAGTACAGACTACAATCTCATCAATTCCAATTTCCTTTGTTTTGTTGAAACATGGACTTTCCCAGGGGAATCCTGTGAAATCATGGAGTTCTCTGAAGTTAGCAGAATTGACAGCGTAACAAATGGGCAAGAAAATAGGAGAAATAAAAGTGGAATAATAATATTCAGTCGATCTAATATTGCAAAAGACGTAAGAATTATCTTAAAAAGAGATTATAGCCGGGGATCTCAGACTTTTCAAATCATTGCTCTAAATACAGAGAGATAATATTAATGATTTTATATAGAAACTCTTCATTTCCAGAAACGACCTTTCGACAATTGCTATTCGAGTCACTGAATGAAATAAATTGGCAACGCGACGAAAAAATAATAGTTATTGGTGACTTTAATATATGCAGGCGAACCGCACAGAGCATAACAGATACACTGTTATGTGCGAAAGGAATTTTTTTCCCTTCTAGACAAAAATGTGCGCACAACAAAGCACGAAACTCAAATAGATTGGGCTTTTTCTAATATACCACATGATAATATTATTTGCAAGACTTATTCGACTGCACATAGCCACCATGACGGCATAGTAATCGCGATGTAGGGAAAAACGTGTAGAAACATTAAATACATATATAATATGAAATTCTAAACATAAATCATAAACATATGATCTTCGCCTTGACAAGGCAAAGCTCAAAAATCTAAATTCTCTATGTTATTTTTCTAAAATATGTCAAAGTTTCGGATATACTTTTATGCATGATCATAAAAATGTATTTATTCGAAACATAAAATTCATATTGAGTAACATAAAGATATACTACATTCGGTTTATGTTAATTAGTACATTTTATTCACCATAAAATGCGATACAACAATTAACATATTCTACTCCTCCTCGGAATAAGCCTTGGCGTGGCGGTGGAGCTAAGTACTTTCGTAATTGGAAGGAAACTAATTATTCCATTTAGTTTAATACTGTTCATGGTGGAGGGTATTCAAAGTTCGGCCCGGCCGAACTTACTGCTTTTTTACTTGTTCCTCTTTAAATATCTGCAATCAAAACGATGCTAAAAACCCCGAAATGTCAATATTTAAGGAGTTATGAGCGTTTTAAAGTATGCTATAAAGAAACTGCAATCAAAACGATGCTAAAAACCCCGAAATGTCAATATTTAATGAGTTATGAGTATTTTAAAATACCCTATTTTTCCTCTTTAAATATCTGCAATCAAAACGATGCTAAAAACCCCGAAATGTCAATATTTAAGGAGTTATGAGCGTTTTAAAGTATGCTATAAAGAAACTGCAATCAAAACGATGCTAAAAACCCCGAAATGTCAATATTTAAGGAGTTATGAGCATTTTAAAATACCCTATTTTTCCTCTTTAAATATCTGCAATCAAAACCGAAATGTCAATATTTAAGGAGTTATGAGCATTTTAAAATACCCCATTTTTCCTCTTTAAATATCTGCAATCAAAACTATGCTAAAAACCCCGAAATGTCAATATTTAAGGAGTTATGAGCATTTTAAAATACCCTATTTTCCTTTTTAAATATCTGCAATACCCTATTTTTCCTCTTTAAATATCTGCAATCAAAACGATGCTAAAAACCCCGAAATGTCAATATTTAAGGAGTTATGAGCATTTTAAAATACCCTATTTTTCCTCTTTAAATATCTGCAATCAAAACGATGCTAAAAACCCCGAAATATCAATATTTAAGGAGTTATGAGCGTTTTAAAGTATGCTATAAAGAAACTGCAATCAAAACGATGCTAAAAACCCCGAAATGTCAATATTTAAGGAGTTATGAGCATTTTAAAATACCCTATTTTTCCTCTTTAAATATCTGCAATCAAAACGATGCTAAAAACCCCGAAATGTCAATATTTAAGGAGTTATGAGCGTTTTAAAGTATGCTATAAAGAAACTGCAATCAAAACGATGCTAAAAACCCCGAAATGTCAATATTTAAGGAGTTATGAGCATTTTAAAATACCCTATTTTTCCTCATTAAATATCTGCAATCAAAACTATGCTAAAAACCCCGAAATGTCAATATTTAAGGAGTTATGAGCATTTTAAAATACCCTATTTTTCCTCTTTAAATATCTGCAATCAAAACTATGCTAAAAACCCCGAAATGTCAATATTTAAGGAGTTATGAGCATTTTAAAATACCCTATTTTTCCTCTTTAAATATCTGCAATCAAAACGATGCTAAAAACCCCGAAATGTCAATATTTAAGGAGTTATGAGCATTTTAAAATACCCTATTTTTATACCCTCCACCATACTATGGAGGGTATATTAATTTTGTCATTCCGTTTGTAACTCCTCGAAATATTCATGTCAGACCCAACAAAGTATATATATTCTTGATCAGCGTAAAATTCTAAGACGATTTAGCCACGTCCGTCTGTCTGTCTGTGTGTCTGTCTGTCTGTCTGTCTGTCTGTCCGTCTGTCTGTCTGTCTGTCTGTCTGTTGTAATCACGCTATCTTTCGAACGAATTAAGATACAAGGCTAAAATTTTGCACACATGTTTATTTTGCCAGTAGGCAGGTTAAGTTCGTAAATGGGCCATGTAGGTCTACGTTATCATATAGCCCCATATAACGGTACCTCCCGATATTCGGTATTTTGATGATTTTAGCGACATTATTCACCGGAATTGTTTCAAATTTGGCATTTGAAGTTCGAAATGGATACTACAGCCTAAGACAGAAAATTGTCTGTGCTGGTCCACGTCTTCGTAAAGCCCCCTTATAACAGTACCTCCCGATATTCGGTATTTTGATGATTTTAGCGACATTATTCACCGGAATTGTTTCAAATTTGGCATTTTAAGTTCGTAATGGATACTACAGCCTAAGACAGAAAACTGTCTGTGTAGGTCCACGTCTTCGTAAAGCCCCCATATAACGGTACCTCCCGATATTCGGTATTTTGATGATTTTATCGACATTATTCACCGGAATTGTTTTGGCATTTTAAGTTCGTAATGGATACTACAGCCTAAGACAGAAAACTGTCTGTGTAGGTCCACGTCTTCGTATGGCCCCCATATAAAAGTACCTCCCGATATTCGGTATTTTGATGGTTTAGCGACATTATTCACAGGAATTGTTTCAAATTTGCTCTTCGAAGTTCGTAATGGATACTACAGCCTAAGACAGAAAACTGTCCGTGTAGGTCCACGTCTTCGTATGGCCCCCATATAAAGGTACTTCCCGTTAATCGGTATTTTGATGACTGTACCTACATTATTCACCGATTTTTATACCCTCCACCATACTATGAAGGGTATATTAACTTTGCCATTCCGTTTGTAACTCCTCGAAATACTCATGCCAGACCCAACAAAGTATATATATTCTTGATAAATTTAAAATTCTTAGTCGATTTAGCGATGCCCGTCTGATTTTAGAGAAATATTTTACCGGAATTACTTCAAATTTCGTATTTAATGTTCATTATTCGTACTACAGCCTTTGAAAAAAAATCCCGTATGCAGGTCCTTCGTATAGTCCCCATTTAACGATAACTCCCGATGTTCGGTTTTTTGATGATTTCAGCTATATTATTAACCGGAATTGTTTCAAATTTAGTAGACGAAGTTCGTAATGGGTATTACAATGTGTGTCAAAAAATTGTCTATTCAGGTCCACGTCTTCGTATAGCCCCCTTGCAACGGTAGCTCTAAATATGCGGTATTTTTACAATTTAAGCCACATTTTTAAACAAAATCTATTGAAAATCGGTATTTAGAATTCGTAATGGGTTCTATTATTATGTGGCCGAGCATTGTCTATAAAGCTCCACGTTTTCGTCCCCATATAAGGGTATCTCCCGATATTCGGTATTTTGACAATTTGAGACACATTTTTTAATAGAATTGTTTTAGAATACAGTGCTTAGAGTTCACAGTGGATTTGATACCCTGTTTTCTATAGCCCCCATACAACGATACTACGCGATACCCGGTAGTTCGACAATTAAAATCCCATTTTTTACAGAATTATTTAAAATTTAGTTTATTAGAACTAAATGGTACCTCAGGATTTTACGTAAATTGGTTTTACATAAATTCGACCATATTTAAAAAATTTAAATGAATATATTTTTGGTATACGTCTCAAATAATGATGCTGTCCTGTGTATTGTATTATGTAGTTTTGCCAAATTCTGAAACCAAGACAGGCGTCATTTAAAATGATACCTGGAACATTGAATCGTTCTAAAATTATTTCAACATAAACCCTTTTTAAGGCACTTGACGTCTAAATATACTGTTGTTGTCATAAAATGTTACATTTTGTAGAATTGTTATTACCAGGTAAACTAAATGTTGTTTTGAAAATATCAATAATTAAATACAGGTAGTTCCTAGATAATAACTGTTTTGTGCAGACTACCTGGTAATTGATAGAGCACTTTTATTGAACGATTGTATTTACAGGATCTACCTGTCAAATGTTTGTTCATGTATTATTACCTGAATACAGCGTTATTGGTAAAAAATATATTGTCATATAATAGTTCTGTTTTGCTTGTATTGTTAGGTAAAAATAAAAGGCTGGTATATATTCGTATTGAATTTTTATTTTCTGTTTAGTATTAAACAGTTGCGCAGAAAGAAAACATATACGAATTTTAAACAGTGTCTAGTGTGTCATTTTGAAACAGTGTTGTGTGTAATTTTAAAACAGTTTTGTGTGCCTTACATACTTTAATAGAGTTAAAATACATTATTACAAAGCGCTAAGTATACTATTTGTATAGTTATTTTTATAAATATGCCTAGATTACGTAAACAATCATCTTTGCAACGCCAAAGGCTATCGACAAATCGTGTAAATGAATACCGCGAACGCAATCCATCTGACAGGCTTAGAAATGCCATATCTATAGCAACAAGGAGGCAAGATGTCAATTTCCGGGAAGAAGAACGGGAAAGAGATCGAGTTTCTCGCCAATTGAGGAGACATAACTCATTTAACCGAAGAGTTGAACAAATACGCGACGCTGCCCAGCATTCTCTTCACCGACAAGACGAAACATATCGGCAATTAGAGCGGGAAAGAGATGCATTGAATCACCAAGTGCGTAGACAAGATGAATCTTATAGGCAAATAGAGCGGGAAAGGGATGTATTAAATCACCAAGTGCGTAGACAAGATGAATCTTATAGGCAATTAGAGCGTGAAACAGATACATTAAATCACCAAGTGCGTAGACAAGATGAATCTTATAGGCAAATAGAGCGGGAAAGGGATGCATTAAATCACCAAGAGCGTAGACAAGATGAATCTTATAGGCAAGTAGAGCGTGAAGCAGATACATTAAATCATCAGGTGCGTAGACGAGATGAATCTTATAGGCAAATAGAGCGGGAAAGGGATACATTAAATCACCAAGTGCGTAGGCAAGATGAAACTTACAGACAAATAGAGCGGGAAACAGATGCCATTAACCATCAAGCTCGTCGTCAGGACGAAACATACAGATTGTCTGAGCAACAGAGGAATACCGCACAACGCTCTGTTCGTCGGGAAGATGTTTCTCAAAGGCAAGTTGAACGCGATAGAGATGCAATAAGCCACCGAGTGCATCGCCAGGATGAAGTTTATAGACAGTTAGAGCGAGAGAGGGATGCGTTAAATCACCAAGTTCGCCGTCAGGACGAAGTATCTAGATAATTCGAACGAGAAAGAGATTCTCTAAACCACCAAGTTCGTCGGCAGAACGAAGAGTATAGAGAAATAGAGCGAGAGAGAGACGCATTAAGCCACCATGCTCGTAGGCAAGATGAAGCTTACAGACAATTAGAGCGGGAGAGAAATGCCATAAGTCAGCAAATTCGGCGGCAGGATGAAGTTTATAGAGAATTAGAGCGTGAAAGAGACACTATAAACCATGAAGTTCGTCGACAGGATGAAACGTACAGACGACTTGAGCAAGACAGGGATACTTTTCGTCGTTCCCAACGTAGACGTAATGAGAACTACAGACAAATAGAACGTGAAATGGACTCACAACGTCGCAATGTGCAAAGACGCGATATAACATATCGCACAATCGAACAAGTTCGTAACACTCAACAACGTCGCGAAGCGCGACAAATTGCTAGTCTTGAATCTCAAGAGCAGAATAGGATTAGAAATTGTCGTGTGCTAATCCATCGGATGAATCCTTACAATCGTGAGGTAGAAAATAACCGTCAGTCCGAGAGAAATGCTGTCATTAGACAGAACCTTTCCCCAGAATCCCGCAGGGAAATGTTACAAGCAGACTCCATAAGACATAGGTCACGACAATTGCGCGAGTTCTACGAATTAATCAGAAAGGGTCCAACGGAAATTTGTATTTGCTGTGGAGGGCTATGGTTCATTTCTCAAGTGAAAAACATAAGTAAAATCACATTCTTGCAGAAATATCCACATTTAACTGAGATTTTCTTCCTTGCTTCAAATTTTCCATCTGAAAATAATATATACAAATTTTGCAATACATGCTATAAAATCGCTCAGGGGGGGAAAATACCTTCAATTTGTCTTTCTAAAGGATTACATTTTCCAGAAATACCAACTGACCTTCGTGGTTTAACACAATTAGAAGAGCGTTTCGTTTCACCAAGAATCGTTGAGAATCGTTTCCCTAGGATACAATCGCCAATGTGCTGTGAGAGGTGCTGTTGTTAACGTACCAATTCAGTTAGATACAACTGTAAACGTACTTCCGCGAGCAGTCAATCAAACTGAAGTTGTGCAAGTTCACCTTAAACGTAGATTGCAATACGAACATAGTTTCATGACAGAAACCATAAGACCAGCAAAGATTTTCGAAGCCGCAAGATATCTAGTAAATACAGAACTCTACAGAAAGCACAACATAGTTCTTTCTAATGAGTGGCTAAATAGCATGAATTGTACAGAAGAATGTCCTTTTGTTTCTAATGTGGAAGATTTAGAGTTGGTATCCCGATTAAGTAATACTAATTTCATACAGGATGATGTTGAAGAAGTAAATCCACAAGAAACATTATTAGACAATAATCCTGTCGAAAATGTACCATTGCAGAGAATTTCCATTGCTCCTGGTGAGGGACAACGACCATTAGACATGCTTTTGGATGAGGACTCTGAGGAACTGTCCTATCCTACAATATACTGCGGTTTAAAAAGAAATTGCAATGCTACAATTGGTAAAATTATTAAGTCCGAGTTTCGACGTTATGATAGACGGTGTGCACGCGTTGACAAAGTATTATACTGCTGTAAAAAATTAGAATTTTCCCGCATTAAAAATAGTATTTCCACATGTTTGAGAAAAAAAGTTGGAAATAGACAATTTACTGCCGCTGATATCTTAGATGATCAACTTGTCCAAAACCTTGTGCAACATGACGACGGCTATCACATATTGAAAGGCGTACGATCTTCACCAGCTCATTGGGAAGGCGAAAAGAGAAAGGTTATGGCAATGATCAGGCAGTTTGGACTTCCGACATTTTTTATAACTTTATCCGCAGCTGAATCTCAATGGCCGGAATTAATTGTGATATTAGTAAAAATTTTGGAAGGAAAAGATATCACTGAAGAAGAGGCTATGTCTTACTCAACCCAGAAAAAGTATGATCTTATCCGAACAGATCCAATTACATGCTCTAGGTATTTTTATCAGAGGATAAGGCACTTACTTAAATATTTCAGGTCCAATGACGGAATATTTAAGGAACATTATGTTATTAAACATAACTGGAGAATAGAGTTTCAGCAACGAGGATCTCCTCATCTACATGGAATATTCTGGTTAAACAACGCGCCTCAATTAAATATTACTGACGATGCTACTTTCCCACCGGTGGCCGACTTCATTGACCGATTCATTTCTACCGATTTTTCTTCCACCGACATTCAAAATATTATAAACGTGCAACGCCACAACCACACCAGGACTTGTCAACGTGAGATTAGAGGTCAAAAATTTTGCCGCTTTCACATTCCTTATCCACCAATGCCTGAAACACAAATATTGCTTCCACTTTCGGAAGATATCGATTTAGATGAACTAAAATTACATAAAGAAAACTTCGCTAAGATAAGTACTTTGCTTAACGCAAATTTATCAAATGATGAACTAGAAGGTCTTCATACGTTCGAACAATTTTTATCTCACAGATGTATTAACTTAAACAGAACGGCATATTTTATGGCTTTAAGGTCATCCATTAGAAAACCACAAGTTTTCTTAAAAAGAACATTTAGGGATAGAACAATAAATGCATTCAATTCAGATATTTTAGCAATGCAAAATTCTAATATGGACATTCAGTTTGTCTTAGATGCATATGCTTGTGTGTCATACATCGTTAATTATATTAACAAATCGAACCGGGGTGTTTCAAGACTGATGCAAGAAGCTATGGCTGAAGTTAGGGATGGCAATTATTCAGTAAAAGACAGGCTGCAGCATATTGGAAATAAGTTCATTAGCGCATCTGAAGTATCAGCTCAAGAGGCATCGTATAATATATTAGGCATGAATTTATCACAATGTAGTAGTGCGGAAGTATTTATCAATACGTTTGCTCCAGAGAAACGTGTTCGTATGATAAAATCGAAGCAAGAACTACAAAATCTTGAAAGAGATTCAACTAATATATTTAAGGCAAACATACTTGATCATTATATCCAACGACCCGATATATTTGAAAATATGTGTTTGGCATACTTCGGTGCATACTACAGCTTTTCCCGGCAATTAAAAAAATCTCGTCATCAAGAAGAGGAGGATGATTTCTTTGAGAACGATGATACCAATTTGGATCAAGTCGGTGCTCCCATACGACTAAAAAATAATTCAGGATACGTCTACAAACGTAAAGCGCCCGCAATAATAAGATTTCCTTCTTTCAAACTTGAAACAAATAAGGAGGACTACATCCGATCATTGGTTATGCTATATTTGCCGTGGAGAAATGAAGTCGATGACTTATTACAAAATGACAATGAAAATACTTGTCTCACCCACAAAAGCACCATTGAAGAAAATCGATTACAATTTGAGTTATATAAGGAAGGAGAACTTGATGAAATATTGTTACAAGTCCAAGATGAAAATAACGCCGTAATCAATGATTCTGCTGATAACATGTTAGTGTCTCGCATGCTTGATGACGAGTTTCGTGCACTAGCAATCCCCGAAATTGATAATAATATCAATATTTTGGAAGTTGATAACAATAATGACTCGGATACTAACGACAACATCAGATTTATAAAGTTACCTCCATTGGTTAGTGAAAAAGATCTTCTTACAGACATAAGGTCCCTAAATGCTAAACAACGTGCTTACTTGCATCATGCTTTGCATAACGTTGTGAACAAAAAAACATTCTATGAATACATCGGTGGTGGTGCTGGTGTCGGCAAAAGCCGTTTAATTAGAGCAATTTACCAATCTGTCACTCATAGACTTAATTCTATTCCTGGAAGTAATCCAGAAATGCCTAAAGTTCTACTAACAGCACCGACTGGGAAAGCTGCATTTGGTATTGGGGGATCAACTCTACATGCTCTGTTCTCCCTGCCGGTAAACCAATATTCGGGAGAACTTCGGCCACTTGGTAGCGACATGGTTAACTCAATAATGTCAAAATTAATTAATGTAAATTTAATAATTATTGACGAAATATCGATGGTAGGATCCAGAATGCTAGGTCACTTGGATGCTCGATTGAAACAAATATTTAAGAGCACTAATCCATTCGGTGGCATTTCAATTATTGCGTTTGGTGATTTCAAACAACTTCCACCCGTTGGCGATAGATGGATTTTTAGTGAGAATACTTATAATCCTTACGGACTAATTGTTGGATCTAGGTTGTGGAATCTTTTCCAATTTTATGAGTTGACCGAAATAATGCGTCAAAGGGAAGATTTGAGGTTCGCGCAAGCGCTTAGTAGAATGTCTAATGGGGAAATGACGACTGAAGATGTGGATATCTTTAAGGCAAGAGTCATTCGTGACGTGAACGATGTTCCAATGGGAACCATTCATTTGTTTCTATCTAATGAGGAGGTTGAAAACTACAACATTTTAAAATTAAACCAAATAGCTTCGGAAGCTTTCTGTTCAAAAGCACAAGACGTAATAAAATGCAATACTTTGAATCCTGATCAAAGAATAAATATTCTAAATAATGTTACAAAATTTAAGACATCCGAGACACAAGGTCTTTGTTTCAGTTACAATTGAAAAAAATCGCAAAGTACTTGATTACAATAAATATTAACACCGCCGATGGTTTAGTAAATGGCGCAACAGGAGTTTTAATGAGTATTGATTTCGAACGTGATTCATCAAATCCAAAGACAGTTTGGTTAAAGTTTTCAGATGAAAATGTTGGAAGGGAAGCACGACGAAAAAAGCCACACTGTACAGAACCATCCTGGACTCCAATTGAAAAGTGTACCAGATCATTTCAGTTCAAACGAAATGAACAAATTTCAATAGAACGTCGCCAATTTCCTTTGGTCGTGGCGGAAGCTATCACCGTTCACAAAAGTCAAGGTGCCACTTACGCAAATGTTGCGGTGCACACTCGTAGCCGAATGACCAGAGCAGCTCTTTATGTTGCATGCAGTCGTGCAACAAATGCGTCTGGGTTGTTCATATTTGGTTCCTTCAACCCTCCCAAACCTTTTCAAAACTCAGATCCAGTAAAAATAGAATTGGAAAATTTAAATAACAACAAAAAATTAGAACTAAATTTTGATTTTATGAAATTGGAAGAGAAAGACATTAAAATATTTTTCCAAAACATTCAAAGTTTCCGCGCCCATAAAGAAGATATCAATACAGACTACAATCTCATTAATTCCAACTTCCTTTGTTTTGTTGAAACATGGACTCTTCCAGGAGAATCCTGCAGCATAATGGAGTTCTCTGAAGTAAGCAGAATTGACAGTGTAAAAAGTGCCCAAGAAAATACGAGGAATAAAAGTGGAATAATAATATTCAGCCGGTCTAATATTGTAAATGACGTAAGAATTATGTTGAAAAAAGATTATAGTCAGGGTTCTCAGACTCTTCAAATCATTGCTCTAAAATATAGAGATATAATATTAATGGTTTTATACAGAAACCCTTCTTTTCCGGAAACGACCTTTCGACAATTGCTATTCGAGTCTCTGAATGAAATCGATTGGCAACACGACCAAAAAATAATAATTATTGGTGACTTCAATATATGCAGGCGAAGCACACAGAGCATAACAGATACACTATTATGTACGAAAGGAATTCTTTCCCTTTTAGACAGAAATGTGCACACAACAAAGCATGAAACACAAATAGATTGGGCTTTCTCTAATATACCACATGATGATATTATTTGTAAGACTTATCCAACTGCACATAGCCATCATGACGGTATAGTAATCGCGATGTAAGGAAAGTTCTAAAAGCGACGAATAAAAATATAGATTAATAATAAAGAAATACTCAATTTTTATTTTCCTAAAATAAATCAAAATTTCGTATATACTTTTATGCATGATCATAAAAATGTATTTCTTCGAAATAGAAAATACGTATTGAGTAACAAACTTATATTACATTCGGTTTATGTTAATTTGTACATTTTATTTAAAATAAAATGCTATACAACAATTAACATATTCTACTCCTCCTAGGAATAAGCCTTGGCGTGGCGGTGGAGCTAAGTACTTTCATAATTGAGAGGAAACTAATTATTCCATTTGGTTTAATATCCTTCTTGGTGGAGGGTATTAAAAGTTCGGCCCGGCCGAACTTAAAGCTGTTTTTACTTGTTCCTCTTTAAATATCTGCAATCAAAACGATGCTAAAAACCCCGAAATATCAATATTTAAGGAGTTATGAGCGTTTTAAAGTATGCTATAAAGAAACTGCAATCAAAACGATGCTAAAAACCCCGAAATGTCAATATTTAAGGAGTTATGAGCATTTTAAAATACCCTATTTTTCCTCTTTAAATATCTGCAATCAAAACGATGCTAAAAACCCCGAAATGTCAATATTTAAGGAGTTATGAGCGTTTTAAAGTATGCTATAAAGAAACTGCAATCAAAACGATGCTAAAAACCCCGAAATGTCAATATTTAAGGAGTTATGAGCGTTTTAAAGTATGCTATAAAGAAACTGCAATCAAAACGATGCTAAAAACCCCGAAATGTCAATATTTAAGGAGTTATGAGCGTTTTAAAGTAGGCTATAAAGAAACTGCAATCAAAACGATGCTAAAAACCCCGCATTTTAAAATACCCCATTTTTTCTCTTTAAATATCTGCAATCAAAAAGATGCTAAAAACCCCGAAATGTCAATATTTAAGGAGTTATGAACGTTTTAAAGTCGGCTGTAAAGAAACTGCAATCAAAACTATGCTAAAAACCCCTTAAATGTCAATATTTAAGGAGTTATGAGCATTTTAAAATACCCTATTTTTCCTTTTTAAATATCTGCAATCAAAACGATGCTAAGAACCCAGAAATGTCAATATTTAAGGAGTTATGAGCATTTTAAAATACCCTATTTTTCCTCTATAAATATCTGCAATCAAAACTATGCTAAAAACCCCGAAATGTCAATATTTAAGGAGTTATGAGCATTTTAAAATACCCCATTTTTCCTCTTTAAATATCTGCAATCAAAACTATGCTAAAAACCCCGAAATGCCAATATTTAAGGAGTTATGAGCATTTTAAAATACCCTATTTTTCCTTTTTAAATATCTGCAATCAAAACGATGCTAAGAACCCCGAAATGTCAATATTTAAGGAGTTATGAGCATTTTAAAGTATGCTATAAAGAAACTGCAATCAAACGATGCTAAAAGCCCCGAAATGTCAATATTTAAGGAGTTATGAGCATTTTAAAATACCCTATTTTTCCTCTTTAAATATCTGCAATCAAAACGATGCTAAAAACCCCGAAATGTCAATATTTAAGGAGTTATGAGCGTTTTAAAGTAGGCTATAAAGAAACTGCAATCAAAACGATGCTAAAAACCCCGAAATGTCAATATTTAAGGAGTTATGAGCATTTTAAAATACCCTATTTTTCCTCTTTAAATATCTGCAATCAAAACTATGCTAAAAACCCCGAAATGTCAATATTTAAGGAGTTATGAGCGTTTTAAAGTAGGCTATAAAGAAACTGCAATCAAAACGATGCTAAAAACCCCGAAATGTCAATATTTAAGGAGTTATGAGCATTTTAAAATACCCTATTTTTCCTCTTTAAATATCTGCAATTAAAACGATGCTAAAAACCCCGAAATGTCAATATTTAAGGAGTTATGAGCATTTTAAAGTATGCTATAAAGAAACTGCAATCAAAACGATGCCAAAAACCCCGAAATGTCAATATTTAAGGAGTTATGAGCATTTTAAAATACCCTATTTTTCCTCTTTAAATATCTGCAATCAAAACGATGCTAAAATCCCCGAAATGTCAATATTTAAGGAGTTATGAGCGTTTTAAAGTATGCTATAAAGAAACTGCAATCAAAACGATGCTAAAAGCCCCGAAATGTCAATATTTAAAGAGTTATGAGCATTTTAAAATACCCTGTTTTTCCTCTTTAAATATCTGCAATCAAAACGATGCTAAAAACCCCGAAATGTCAATATTTAAGGAGTTATGAGCGTTTTAAAGTATGCTATAAAGAAACTGCAATCAAAACGATGCCAAAAACCCCGAAATGTCAATATTTAAGGAGTTATGAGCATTTTAAAATACCCTATTTTTCCTCTTTAAATATCTGCAATCAAAACGATGCTAAAAACCCCGAAATGTCAATATTTAAGGAGTTATGAGCGTTTTAAAGTATGCTATAAAGAAACTGCAATCAAAACGATGCTAAAAGCCCCGAAATGTCAATATTTAAAGAGTTATGAGCATTTTAAAATACCCTGTTTTTCCTCTTTAAATATCTGCAATCAAAACGATGCTAAAAACCTCGAAATGTCAATATTTAAGGAGTTATGAGCATTTTAAAATACCCTATTTTTCCTCTTTAAATATCTGCAATCAAAACGATGCTAAAAACCTCGAAATGTCAATATTTAAGGAGTTATGAGCATTTTAAAATACCCTATGTTTCCTCTTTAAATATCTGCAATCAAAACGATGCTAAAAACCCCGAAATGTCAATATTTAAGGAGTTATGAGCGTTTTAAAGTATGCTATAAAGAAACTGCAATCAAAACGATGCTAAAAACCCCGAAATGTCAATATTTAAAGAGTTATGAGCATTTTAAAATACCCTGTTTTTCCTCTTTAAATATCTGCAATCAAAACGATGCTAAAAACCCCGAAATGTCAATATTTAAGGAGTTATGAGCGTTTTAAAGTAGGCTATAAAGAAACTGCAATCAAAACGATGCTAAAAACCCCGAAATGTCAATATTTAAGGAGTTATGAGCATTTTAAAATACCCTATTTTTCCTCTTTAAATATCTGCAATCAAAACTATGCTAAAAACCCCGAAATGTCAATATTTAAGGAGTTATGAGCGTTTTAAAGTAGGCTATAAAGAAACTGCAATCAAAACGATGCTAAAAACCCCGAAATGTCAATATTTAAGGAGTTATGAGCATTTTAAAATACCCTATTTTTCCTCTTTAAATATCTGCAATCAAAACTATGCTAAAAACCCCGAAATGTCAATATTTAAGGAGTTATGAGCGTTTTAAAGTAGGCTATAAAGGAACTGCAATCAAAACGATGCTAAAAACCCCGAAATGTCAATATTTAAGGAGTTATGAGCATTTTAAAATACCCTATGTTTCCTCTTTAAATATCTGCAATCAAAACGATGCTAAAATCCCCGAAATGTCAATATTTAAGGAGTTATGAGCGTTTTAAAGTATGCTATAAAGAAACTGCAATCAAAACGATGCTAAAAACCCCGAAATGTCAATATTTAAGGAGTTATGAGCGTTTTAAAGTATGCTATAAAGAAACTGCAATCAAAACGATGCTAAAAATCCCGAAATGTCAATATTTAAGGAGTTATGAGCGTTTTAAAGTAGGTTATAAAGAAACTGCAATCAAAACGATGCTAAAAACCCCGAAATGTCAATATTTAAAGAGTTATGAGCATTTTAAAATACCCTATTTTTCCTCTTTAAATATCTGCAATTAAAACGATGCTAAAAACCCCGAAATGCCAATATTTAAGGAGTTATGAGCATTTTAAAATACCATATTTTTCCTCTTTAAATATCTGCAATCAAAACGATGCTAAAAACCCCGAAATGTCAATATTTAAGGAGTTATGAGCATTTTAAAATACGTATTTTTACTCTTTAAATATCTGCAATCAAAACGATGCTAAAAACCCCGAAATGTCAATATTTAAGGAGTTATGAGCGTTTTAAAGTATGCTATAAAGAAACTGCAATCAAAACGATGCTAAAAACCCCGAAATGTCAATATTTAAGGAGTTATGAGCATTTTAAAATACCCTATTTTTCCTTTTTAAATATCTGCAATCAAAACGATGCTAAGAACCCCGAAATGTCAATATTTAAGGAGTTATGAGCATTTTAAAATACCCTATTTTTCCTCTTTAAATATCTGCAATCAAAACTATGCTAAAAACCCCGAAATGTCAATATTTAAGGAGTTATGAGCATTTTAAAATACCCTATTTTTCCTCTTTAAATATCTGCAATCAAAACTTTGCTAAAAACCCCGAAATGTCAATATTTAAGGAGTTATGAGCGTTTTAAAGTATGCTATAAAGAAACTGCAATCAAAACGATGCTAAAAGCCCCGAAATGTCAATATTTAAGGAGTTATGAGCATTTTAAAATACCCTATTTTTCCCCATTTAAATATCTGCAATCAAAACGATGCTAAAAACCCCGAAATGTCAATATTTAAGGAGTTATGAGCGTTTTGAAGTATGCTATAAAGAAACTGCAATCAAAACGATGCTAAAAGCCCCGAAATGTCAATATTTAAGGAGTTATGAGCATTTTAAAATACCCTATTTTTCCTCTTTAAATATCTGCCATCAAAACGATGCTAAAAACCCCGAAATGGCAATATTTAAGGAGTTATGAGTTTTAAAGTATGCTATAAAGAAACTGCAATCAAAATGATGCTTAAAACCCCGAAATGTCATTATTTAAGGAGTTATGAGCATT